GAATGAGAGAGAGTACATGAGAGGGGGGAGGGTCAGAGGGAGAAGCAGGCTCCTCGCTGAGCAGGGAGCCCAATGCGGTACTCGATCCCGGGACTCCAGGATCATGACCTGAGCCGAAGGCAGTCGCTTAACCAACTGAGCCACCCAGGCGCCCCTCAAGTGTTTATTTTTTAAAGAACTCATATCAACACCTTAAAATGTGTATGTCTACCTCTAATTGGATCACCATTTTACCAAATTTCCAAGAAACACCAATCCAGTGCTAAGCAAAGACAGAACTCATAAAATGTTGAATGAATGAATAATTAATGAATGAAATATATCTGTAATATCTCTGTACTATTAAATGACCTTTAACATAAAACTTAATGCAATAATGAGGATAATAATAGAGATTATGGCAATATATTTACTGAATGCACAGGCTATATCCACAGGAATACAAAAATGTCTTTTTTAATGAAGGCTTCAGGCTTAAGGTATCTATCTATCTATCTATCTATCTATCTATCTATATATATATATGCTAACGTTTAACAAAAGCGGGCTATATTGAAAGAACCCCCCTCAATGTTTCTGTGTTGTCATATGTAATGGGGTCCATGAGATTTTCAGCTCCAGGATGGAGAAGGCCCTCACACAGTGATTCAGCCTGCACTGTGTAGCTGAGGAAGCTAAGACAGAGGTCATTTGGCTGCCTGCAAACTCTGCGGCGTCTCACAAACCACCTAATGTGCTCTGAACTCACTCTCATGGACTCCAGGTATAGCGTGATCCAGCTGCAGCGTCCATTTCCCATTTTGTTTTTCACTCTGCACTCTCCACACAAACCTCATCATAGAGTAAAACAGGATTATTTACCAAACCTCATCATAGAGTAAAACAGGATTATTTACCATTGCCTGACCTAGGCTTTGCTGCGGCTGCAAGGTGAACTCTGCAGTGTGGGAGACATCACTTAGCCACCGAGGACCTCAGGGAGCGGGCTGAGCACATGTGATCTCAATCACACTGTCAGCCCAAAAATGCTACAGCACACCATTACCTCCTGCACCCATGGGTCGTTGAAATTAACTCATCTTTTAAGCCCTGGCTGAAATGCTATCTCCTCTAGGAGGACGTCCGTGTGGCTGGACTTGTTCCTTCCTACGGATGCTCCTGGCCTTTTTATTTCCTCACTGAAATCTGTATTATAATTATTTAGAGGTACTACAAAGTCACCTATTATGCTACAATATCCTTCAAGGCAGGAAACATTTCTTGTATTGTCTTCATTGCCTGAAAGTACTTCAACTCAGTACAGATGAGATGCCACATGCATGGAATAACTGATGAAATGGAACGGTCCCTTACTCTGGCAAAGAAATAAAATTACTTAAACTTCAGGTGTACAAAGGATTGCAAAACCCAAATGTTAAGACTGTAAAAAATGGAAAAGAACTTTACAATTTTAAAAATAGTCACTAAAATTTGATGGTGAAATAAACTCTACCTAATAAGTAAATCCTGCTTTACACTGTGCTAATCCATGTTGATCAGAAAAATGATTCTTGCCTGTGAATCCACCACGGTGATCACCTGACTCTACCTGCTTGGTAATGAACCCTTACCTGTAGTCACACCAGGGGCATCTGTAGGGCTTCTCTCCCGTGTGCACCCGTTTGTGCCGAGTCAGATGGGACTGGGTTGTGGAGGCAAAGTTACACTCATCACATTTGAAAGGTTTTTCTCCTGCAAAATATAAAGCAATGCTATACATGAATAATTATAAAAACTGGAATGAAGGGCTAAACCTGTTACTGACAATTAAAAAGAAACTTATTTCCATAAAAATTTAAGAATATAGTTCAATGGACTACTCACATTTAGGACACTTGAATATTCATTCCCAGAGTGATAAAGTTAGAAGATACCACTGATTTTAATTTCTGTATTTGAATGGAAGCAAGGTATATATTATGGAGCTCAAATGTAACTTACACAAACAGAAATCTAAATTACAGCCTGGTCTAGCACTGCATTTGGAGTCATTTAACAAACTATGTTACACTAGAGCTATTATAAAAACCTCCCTGAGGATAAAACCATGAAAAAGCATATAACAGAGATATTCTTTGAATATACAATATAAAATCTTAAAGTTAAATATGAAGAAAAAATAAAGCTATAATTTGATACCAATTAGAAAACTCTTAGAGGTAAGGGAAAATTACAGTTCACTAAAGTTGAAAAAGAGGTCACCACAGAAAAAAAGGCCTCAAAGAAACATGTGCAATACTATTTCATAGCATTCCCCTGTGTAGATCTAAGCAATCTATCCACATATGCATTTTACCCATCAGTTGGTTCAAGGCTTGCACACCACTCATAGATACTTTCTCTGCATTAACCACTCCCCCTGCACACACACACATTCAAAGAAATCATCAAATCTTACTTTTTAATTGTATTAGCCACACTGGCTGGTAAGCCCTTGAAATATGGCTATTTAATTTCAATCAATATAAATTTTAAATTTAAAAAACTGATAAGGGATTTACCTACAGAAAAAATGTTTAAGTCTGTATAGAACAGCTTGGGAATGTGAATCTACTTTTTGAGGCATAAATTTTATCAAATCTAAATATAAATCACAGATTTGATATAAAAATTTAGCCTCTGAATTGAGATGTGCTGAAAGTGTAAAATGCACTCCAAAATTCAAAATCCTAGAACAAAAAAAAATAAAATATCACTAATAATGTTATATTGATTTCATGTTGGAATGATAATAATTTGATATATTTGGTTAACTATTTTTTTTTTTTAGTTTCAAGCTTATATTTAAATTCCAGTTAATTAACATAGTGTGAATATTAGTTTTAGGAGTAGAATTTAGTGATTCATCACTTACGTACAACACCCAGCGCTCATCATAACAAGTGCACTCCTTAATTCCCATCACCTATTTCCCCCAACCCCAATCCTGCAACTTCTCCTCCAGGAACCTTCAATTTGTTCTCTCTCTATAGGAGTCTGTTTTATAAGGTTTGCCTCTCTCTTTTCTTCCCCCTATGTTCATCTCTTTTGCTTCTTAAATTCCACCTATAAGTAAAATCATATGGTATTTGTCTTTCTCTGACTGACTTATTTCTCTTAGCACAATACACTCTAGCTCTATCCACGCTGTCGCAAATGGCAAGATTTCATCCATTTTGATGGCTGAAAAATATTCCTATATACACCACATCTTCTTTATCCATTCATCAGTTGATGGCTTTTTCCATAATTTGGCTATTGTTGATAATGCTGCTATAAACATTGGGGTACATGTGCCCCTTTGAATCAGCATTTTTGTACCCTTTGGGTAAACACCTAATAGTACAACTGCTAGATCACAGGGGAGTTCTATTTTTAATTTCTGAGGAACCTCCATACTGTTTTCCCGAGTGGCTGCACCAGTTTGCATTCCCAACAACAGGACAGGGTGAGACGGTTCCCTTTCTCTGCATCCTAGCCAACATCTGCTGTTTCCTGGGTTGTTAAGTTTAGCCATTCTGATAGGTGTGAGGTGGTATCTCATTATAGTTCTGATTTGTATTTCCTTGATGATGAATGATGTTGAGCATGTTTTCACGTGTCTATTAGCCATCTGGATGTCTTCTCTGGAAAAATGTCTATTCATGTCTTCTGAATTTATATGGAACCACTAAAGACCCCGAATAGCCAAAGCCGTCTTGAAAAAGAAAAGCAAAGCTGGAGGCATCACAATTCCTGACTTCAAGTTCTATTACAAAGCTGTAGTGATCAAGACACTATGGTACTGGCACAAAGACACATAGATCAATGGAACAGAATACAAAGTCCAGAAATGGACCCACAACCATATGGTTGACTAATCTTCGACAAAGCAGGAAAGAATATCCAATGGAAAAAAGACAGTCTCTTCAACAAATGGTGCTGGGAAAACTGGACAGCTCCATGCAAATGAATGAAACTGGACCACTTTCTTATACTATAAAAATAAATTCAAAATGGATGAAAGACTTAAATGTGAGACAGGAAACCATCAAAATCTTAGAGGAGAACACAAGCAATAACCTCTTTAACACTGGCCATAGCAACTCCTTAACTAAATATGTCTCTGGAGGAAAGGGAAACAAAAGCAAAAATAAATTATTTGGGACTTCCATCAAGATAAAATGTTTCTGCATGGTGATGGAAACAATCAACAAAACTAAAAGGCGACCTTTGGAATGGGGGAAGATATCTGCAAATGATATATCTGATAGGGGGTTAGTATCCAAGATATATAAATTGTAAAACTCAACACCCAAAAAATAAACAATCCACGTAAAAAATAGGCAGAAGACATGAATAGACATTTAGTTAACTATTTAAAAAAGCAATTCACCTGTTACTTTTTTGTTTTTTAATATGGTTGCCAGGAAACTTAAAATGACAGGTGTAGCTCACATGACATTTCTGCTGGACAGCAATGAACTAGAGAAAATATCACAACCACCTCCTCCCCAAAATGATTTGTAATATATAATAATACTCTTCTCAGCAAACATTCTTTATGAGAAATTTTACATATAGATTAATTTTATGTATGCTCAATAATTCCACTTGCCACTTCTTAATTCTGGTGTTTTTTGAATAGTTTTATAAGTATACTGACTTCTGTAGAAAACAAAGGAAGAACTACCTTGGTATAAAATTACCCTACATCAATTCCACTAGCAACAAAACTACATCTGTCCTGAAAACCAGAATGTTTAGAATCTTGTCCCCCTTTCTTTCTAAGCCTATTAATATGGCAGTTAGCTGAATGCATCCACATCTCATTTGATGGTGTTCTACCTGTTACTGTAGCCCAGGGTGGGGTGGGGGGCAGTCAGAAGAAGCCAGATGGACTTCAATCCCAATCCAGGTTTTGCCATATTTCACTCCCTACCTGTAACCCCCCTGGACAAGATCAGAAGCGTAAAACCACCGAACAAGCAGGACAGTTATGAGGATTCGAGAAGACAAAGCATGTGTAAGGTACTTCTCACGGGGTCCCATGCCTCATTGCATTTGTCGCCCATATGCCCGGAGCAGCTGAGCGCCGTTATGTGCACAGTGCCCTCTCACAGAGATGAAAGAAGGAGCACACACCCCAGTGCTTCTCATCAAGCTCTCCGAACAAGGAAAAAGGCAAACCTTTTTATATACAAAACAATTACGTGGTTTCACATAGTGAATTTAACACAGAGATACCATTTAATAGATCCTACAAGGAAATATTTGATTAATTTTTGTAAAAAGAAGAACATATACAAAGCAGAGTAAAATCTTGGGAGTTAGGAGGCATTTTTGTACCTTTCATCAATTTGTTCTCAAGATACATCCCATCTATAACACCCCAATCAAGTGGTCACTCAGGGTCAGCCTGAATAACTCTTGGTTCTTGGTCTCTAAACTGCTGGTCAAGTCACTTACATTGGTATAGACAACTCAACTACACTGAACTGACTTATACAAAAACTCACTTTCATGATGATGGCAGGTTTTGCTTTTGTTTGAGAGACAGTTGATGATATTCATCTTGCATAAGGCTAAAGAAAATGGCTCTGTGTCTTCAAATTTGGTACAGAAATATGCTATATCATAAAAACATAAACATCCACACGGAAGCATATCTGAAAACTTCTACATTTCATTATAAGAACTGGACTGCAGACTATTTTAACTACACACCAATGTCACAGAGCAGTTCACATGGACAGCAGAAACACAAAGTGATGCACTCATCTGGATAAAACTACATGCATTATTAATTGTTTCACTAACTTGACGTATCTAGACTGACCATACAAGGCAGACTGAAACCACCACAATCAAGACAATGAACACAGCCACCACCCCAGAGGTTCTTTATACCCCTTTCTCTCTCTGGCTCATCCCATCCTCAAACGAACTCTCATCTGCTTACTATCAATATATATTAGTTAGCATTTTCTAGAGATTTATATACACGGAAACATACAGTACGTATTCTCTTTTGTCTGACCTCGTCTCAGCATTATTTTGTGACTCACTCATGTTGATCCAGGTGTAAATATTTGTTTTTTATTTTAGCTGAGGAGTAGAGTAGCGCTCCATGATATGAACGTACCACAGTTTTGTTTATCCATTCATCCAACAAAGGACATTTGAATTGTTTGCATTTAGGGGTGTTACAAACAAAGCTGCTATAAATCGTCATGTGCAAGTCTATGCATGGATATGTATCTCTTTTTCTCTTGGGTAAACATCTAGGAGTGGGTTGGCTGGGTCATTTAGTAGGTACATACTAATTTTGTAAGAAACTGCCAAACTGTTTTCCAAAGTGGTCTGACCATTTTATATTCCTACAAGCAGTGTAGGAAAGTTTTAACTGCTCCAAATCATCACCAATACTTGGTATGGTCAGTGCTTTCAATTTGCATTTTTCTATTGATGTTGAGAATCATTTCATGTGCTTATCTGCCATTCATTTATATTCTTTGGTGACATGTCTGTTCAAATCATTCAACCCCTTTTTAATTGGTTAGTTGTTTTCTTATACTTATGTTTTGAGACTTCTTTATATATTACAAATACAAATGCTCAATAAGATTTGTGATTTATACGTATTTTTCCCCACTCTTTGGTTTGTCTTTGCATTCATTCTCTTGTCTTTCATAGAGGAGTACCTAATTAATGTATAAAGTTTTTAATTTGTCAGTTTATAATTGCTCAAGCTATGGGTTTTTTTTTTTTTTAATTACAGATCAGGCTTTTGATGCAGTACCTAAGAAATCTTTGATAATCTATGGTCACAAAGATTTTTCTCCTAAATTTCCTTCCAGAATTTATACAGTTTTAAGTTTTACATTCAGATTAAGAACAGTTTCGAGTTAATGTTATACATGGTATGACATATAGAGCAAAGTTCATTTTTACTGCATACAGATATCCAATTGTTCAAGCATTATACATTAAAAAGACTGCACTGCCTTTGTTCCTTTGTCAAAAATCCACTGACTATATAGATGTAGGTCTGTTCTGTAATCTCTGTTCCATTCCACTCATAGATTTGTCTTCCTTGATGCCAATACCAGAGTGACTTGATTACTGTAGCTTTATAGTAAGTCATGAAGTCAGGTTTGTTCATTGTCCTCAAAGTTGACTATTTCAGATCGTTGCATTTCCAATTTTAGTATATGTGCTGCCAAAGTGAGCACTGGATCGTTGCATTTCCATATAAATTTTAAAATCAGCTTGCCAATTTTTTAACAAGAAGAAGCTTGGTGGGATCTGAGTCTTTTGAGTCCATGAACATGGTATATCATCCTATTTAGGTCCTTTAATTTCTCTTGGCAGTTTTTTGCAGTTTCCAATGTAGGGGTTTTGCACATCCTTTGTTAGATTACCTCTAAATATTGTACCTTGGTCACAAACAACTGAAAAATATAAGCATGGATCTATTCTGTTCCATTGAGTATCTGTGTATCTTTATGCCAATACAATATGGTCATGACTATTGTAGCTATATAATAAGAGGTCAAGTTAGGTAGTATAAATCTTCCACGTTAACATAATGAATCTAAGTGGTCAAACAATTTAAAGATTCTTTTTTTCATTAGCAAATAGACAACTACATCCTGATGTCTCCTTATTCCATTCAAACTAATGTCTGAAAATATGTGCTAACTTGTTTATTCAAATAGCCTTGGGGTAGGCATCTTTATCCATTTTTCATGGATTTGGCAGTTATCTGGAGAGGATAAAGGGTGACATGATGGACTCATTGTCTGAGTTAGCACTGTAAATGAAAGGTCATTTAAGCTCTTCAAAGTTAATTTTCTTGGTTTGGAGGTTTAACATAAGCACTTAAAAAAAAGGTTAACATAGCTTATTTCATCTAAATTTTTATGACATTTTTATGTGACACAATCGAAACTTAGAAACAACACTTTTAAAGAATGTCATTTATATTCTCTATAATTCTAATAATTTGAAGTTCATATTAAGCTAGCATTACATTACAATGAGCTATAATTTCAGACTTGACAACACTGTAGATTACATTGCGTAACACTAAGAAATTTTGAGTTATATACGGGTTGACAGAGAAGAAAATATCATGCTACCAAAATATGCTACATAAAATCCTACTCTATAACCACTAAGTAAAGGAAGGCTCAAGCGTGTCTAGGCTCCTGGAAGGGGAAGAACCCCATGTCAATTTATACAAACTACAGTTTAATCAAATCTGTACATGATTAATTTGTAATTTATTAGTTTTGGTACATGCCTGATGCTACTGTTCAAATATGTTAATTGGTATTTTTTTTTTCATCCACAAATGATAATTTCTTCAGGTAATTTCAGGAGATTTCTTCAAGTAATTTCTTCAGAGAACTATACTTCAGAAACACAAAAGTAGTTTTTTTTGTTTGTTAGTCTCAATATATAGCCAAAGAAATAAACTCGCTTTCTAGGTTGTAAAATTTGGAAAAAAAAAAAAAAATCTACAAATTATAAATAAGAATTCCAGTTTGCTAATATTTGTTAATGCCTGAAATGAGATAAGTACCGTATGAAGAGGTGCATACACTTGTTAACGACTGATCAAAATGATTTAGTGCACTGGGAACAGTCCTTCTGAATCCTTTGTCATTCTAAAGCCAGAAAGATGAGTAAATCTATGAGTAAGGCATTAACTACTACTGATGAGTGCTACCTCTAAGTCAATAGCGCTGTGTACACCCTACTCAAAAAAGCAAAAACAAAGGTGAATTTCCTTTCCTCCTGAATTTCCCCTTATGTGACATAACAGTGCATATTAAATCATGTTGTTCTTCATACTCTCCTTTACGAACAACAACCTTGGCCAAAGTAACCATTAAGGAATGTTCTGCATCTTAGGTAGCTGTGGCAGAAAAGTAAAAGAAAGTCGGAGGGGGTACACCAGAATGGCTATGGATACAGAGCAGTGCCCTTTGTGTGTCAACAATCTGTCAAAAGGGCTGCACACTTCTCATGGAACCTCACACTTCGCATTCCTTTGGGCAGGCTGGTGCTTATTAAGCGGGCCAAGACTCTTCAACTACACGTGAGGATTTGCTCCTGTGCCCTTGAATCAAGGGTCTCTGACAGGTGATAAAAGTAAATCTTGGAATGGAAGATGTTTTGTGTCAGCCCCCTAGACAGTCTGTATTGCAGTAGGGAATTATTTACGCCATTTGGAACACTTTTGATACCTATCCCTTTCCAAGCTGATTGTAATTTGCGTGGGCACTCTGGTAAAAAGGTAAACCATGTCAAAGAGGAATACATCAGAGAAATATAGATTTCAGTGCACCATACAATTCTGGCCTTTGAAAAAAACAAGCTGTATGATGCTTAAATATTACAAATCCAGCATAAAAGCCAAGGGCCTAGACTGAGTTGTACTAAGCTGTTTGGTTGAAGCAAACAGTCTTCAGAACTGACTTTGGTATTAAAGAATCATGTTTGATTTGTGCCACAGAGGGAGATAAATGCCACAAAGACAGATGCCTCTGTCTGTGAGACATTGTCCTATATGGTATAAAGTTAATAGCAAAGTAATAAGGAGCCTCTGGACCTGACATAAAATATAAAGTTGTGCCTGCCCGACACAGGCTTCATGATCGATCACCTGTAAGTGCCTGGGATCCTAGCACGACTGTCCTCACCGCAGGGGGAGAGGGAGCTCTGGCACCATGGCAGAGGGGGCACACGGGAGGCTCTGCCGGTCCCCAGGCTGCAGCTGGGAGTGACCTGGCGAGCAACAAGGGTCGCAAGAGTAACATTCGGGCACCAATACACTGAATACATCAAGAGCAAAGCACCCCACGTGAGCACGCTTTACACCCCCCACAACACACACACACTCCAACTTCTCCAAGACGGCTGCCGAGGAGGGCTGCCATCCGCTGGCCTCTCCTGCCATCCCTGACCCCGACTCCCGACGGCGCTGGATTAACGGGCTGTGGCCACAGGTTGCTACTATAAACTGAAAGTGGACTTCCACGTTTACAGAATTAAGTGTACGTTTCCAACATCAAGTTAAACACTGGAAATTTCACTTCATTCGATAATAACTCTTACCCTGTATGGAGACCTGAATCCTATACACGCACGATCTGAAAGAAGTAGCTGGCGTTAGTTTTTATTAATCTTACAAATACCACAATGGGTACTAGAGCTACCTATGGCTAGCTGTTAAATATATCATATCAAGGTTCAAAATGTCCCACAAACAACATGTATCTTCATTTCATGCCACTCTGAGTGTGACCGCCAAACACCCCACTGTCATGGTCCCCAAGGAAAAGCCCAACATTCAGTGACAGATTGTGTTACCACATGATTTACCATCTAAACTAGGTCACTTTTGATAATAAAACAGTTCTGTTAATAATCAGAAGGGACAATGCCATTAACAGCACTGTCCCCGGCACGTATAATTTACAACTATTAACATAATTACTTATAAGACCGGGTAGGTGATCGATTTTAATGAATACTTAAAACTTTTCATTCTTAACTGTTCCTAACCGAGGCACCTATTTGATTTTGTTGCACCATAAAGAACGTGAATCACGAACATGAATCCTCTTCCACGTCGCTGTCTACTCAAGTAAGCTCTCCATTCTTAAGAGCAAGAAGGACAGAAACAGCAAGAACCTAAAACCGCACCTACTGTTCCCAACTCACAGAGGGACTGCCCCTAGAGGGTCAGGTGGTTAGGTGGGCCAAGAAGTAGCTGGAAAAGGCGGGGAGGGGGGCTGTGGAGAAGCCGGTTGCCAGCCAAGGAGGCAGGGGTGAGCACGAAAGTAGGTGGGAGATGCTGAGGGGAGAGGGCGCATCGGAGGGCCAGCCGGGCCCCCAGCCTCACCCACCATGTCTGTGGCGCAGTCTCGTGGGCCGAGAGGGAGGCGGGTGTGTCTGCAAGTGGCAGCAAGCTCTTTCCCCTCCTATATAACACGGATTTACACAGGCCACCCGATCCCCGAACCATGCAGTAGGCCGACTTTTTAAACATCTAAAAAGAGGTGAATCCAAGGCTTAGGTTATTCAAAGAGAATTCTCAGCAGACCCTCAGGTACAGGGATCGTACAACGACGACAGGACACGGCACCGCGGGCCGAGAGCGGACGCCGGGCGCCCGCCGGCTCCGCCGGGCAGGGGCGGGCGGCAGCCGTACTGACCTGTGTGCTGGCGGCGGTGCTTGGTGAGGGCGTGCCGCGTCCCGCCGGCAAAGCCGCAGAGGTCGCACAGAAACGACTTCTCGCCTGTTGCAACAATAAACAGATGAGGGACTGCGGAGGTCACAGATCATTAAAACATATCTATCAAGGCTTTCAGGGTTACTAATTCCTCCAATCAAATGTTTCCATGTAAATATGTCAAATGGGAATGAAATTACCACTGCGGTTTATTGACTGTGATAAAATCTGAAAAGCACCACTGAACATAATTACATACTTGTCAGACCCATAAAAATTAGCTTTATTATCAATGGAATGGTTTTGTACAACTTCATTTCTGGTAGATGTCTTCCAGATGGGGCTGCTTTATGCACTTGAACAGTTTTTATGCATATCCTGATTTTTTACAATTCCCATACATCTGGCCTTTCTGAGCTGAGTAAAGATTGCTTGGAATAGTTAATATACAGTATCTAGGATTCTGCTTAAATAAAACATATTGAATTTTCCAACAACTGAAGGATATTGAATTGGTTTTATCTGATCCTATCAGGTTCTTCCTTTAATAACTTCCTACTTAATAACGTGAATTGAATGGTTTCCTTGAACACACGGAAGATCCCAACTAACAATAAAATCCACATTACTCAGTGCCAATAACAATTCAGTGCTGTTTATGTTTCTCAAACTTTCATGGCATAAAAAGGCAAGTCTAGGGATTGCTAAAGAAATTGTACAAAAACTTCAATTATCCATCTTTAATGATAGTTCTGGACTGAAAACCTCTGCAACAATTAGAGACAGCTTTGGCAGAGTTAGTATTTGTTAAAAGTGTATAAATGCTCATTTTATTTTAGCATTTTTACACAAGTGAACATTTTCCCCTACAGTTTATAAATGCAATCTATCTTTTTTCCGGCAGCATATTTAGGCAATAAGCGCTGCCAAGCTGGGCAGTTTATCCCACAAGGCTCAAAGGGAAGGGCAAAAGAGAATAAAAATGCTAACCGTGGAGAGATATGGTGAAATTATAAAATACTTTTCCAGAAACAAAATAAATCATTTGTATCTATCATTACTCATCTAGATGTTTAATGCAACAAGTCTTTCAAGAGTTTTGCCCGAGTCAGCTGGCTTTGTTCTAAAACATTTTGGCATTTCATAACAGAAATTTTGCTTGATGTGTTTGGAAAATGGTGGTTGCTTTTGTAAAGTCAGAAAAAAACAGTAAATGTAGGAAGGCAGAATAACTTCAGCAACCAAAAAGAGTCTCCCCTTCACTAGAGAGCATTATTACCTTTTGTCATCTAGACGAACATATATTAATACAGAGAGTTTTAAAGCAAATTATGTTTAATTTCATTTCCCAATATATGTGAAAATGTTCACTGTTGTCATTTATAAAATAAAGTTGAATTTAAATATTTTTCCTATCTGTGCTTTCCTATTTTGGGGTTAAGTTTGTCCCTTGGCATCATCATCTCAAGATTAAAAAAAAAAAAAGAATAGAGTAGACGGCTGTGAAGAATAAAGTTTAATTATAATCACTCATTTAATTATTTAATCAATTTGGAGTATAAATATTTCCAACTAGCCATATTATCAATTAAATAACACTGAAAGTAGACTTTTTAAGAATCCCATAGATAATGTGCTCGTTAATAGTAACATACTCCTCTATGTGGAGGCAAAACCGTTCCCTGTGACGTCTACCCCAGCAACGGCAATGTGGTTGTGAACCCCTCGTGCGCACGTGGAAGCACATCTGTGCCCGGTCTCCCCCGTGCCCGCCTGCGAGCATACTCGTGTGCGCAGCGGTGTGGCAGGGGAAGGGCTGCGCCATCAAACTAGCAAAGCTCAATGCGGACAGGGTATTCTTATTACTCTCAGATGCAAGAAAACGAGGATTCCTTTCTCCCATTTATGAACTTCTTTGTGATCTACATCTTTCTTGTAACATAAAAACAGAAAAAAACCTCATGAGATTTACACCCTTCACAGGTTAATATGCTATATAAAAATATTAAGTTTTATTCCCTTTCCTATTTGAAGATATGTATAGGCACAAAGACAAAATTATTAATTTCCAATGGGATTCGATTCTAGACACATTAATGACCTTGATTTTTTGAAGCATAGAATTCTATTTAGGATGTTAGCCTACAATGTATTGTATGCCATATTTACCTTGGTGGCTTGATTTGTTTTTCATTCTAAATTCGATTTCACTTCCTTTTTTTTTTTTTCCTGAGGGGTAGAGGCATTAGGGTCAAATAGTGGACATCAGACTATTTTTCAAAACAAAAATTTTGAGGAAAAAAATTAAGTGTAATATTTCACTCCATAAAGGGGGTTCATTTAACATGCCCTATTTATGTGATAGCAGGGATCTAATAGGAGACTTTCCCGAACAACCTGAATTAGTTTCAAGTGTGCGATTTTGCATTCAAATGTAGAAAGACACGGAAACCAATCCTTTATTTTCTATTAGAAAACAGCCACTGTCCCCTATCTCTCATTATGGTGCAGACTACAAGACCTAACAACAAAAATCCATATTATTGATCCAGCCAAGTCTCCACAATTATTCTTTAGAAGGAAACGCCGACGATAAATTACATCTGCACTGGCTTTTCATCTGCTGTTCGATATAAGTGATCTCTCAGGGCAGGCTGGGGACCTTAAATCGTCACCGCCCTTGTCAAGGAAGCTAAGGAGGCCTGGCCTTCCCACAAACTGCTTCAGAAGAACTTTTAACCTATAATTTCTAACAATAATATAGGATTCTTGGCAATCAGAAGAACATTTGGGAATGCTGATTAAAATTTATTATTTTTCTTCCTTGAAACAAAATACTTGGAGAAGTGTAAAGAGAAAGAAGACTACAAAAATAACAAACAGCTCATGGCAGCAGAGCCACAGAGAGATAAGGAGAGTACTCAACTGTAAGCTTGTAAGGAGTTTAGGGGCCCACTGTCCTTAGATAATGGAAAACATGCCATAAACAGTGGATATAACAACAGGGTATTAGCGGGCTATATATTTATGGAGGTCCAAACTGAGAGTTCTCAGGACCATGCCTAGCATAGATGTATTCTGAATGCTGGCGTTCACTATCAACTGGTTTAAATTCCATACACTTCTTTAAATGTTGTGATGTAAAACGTATGTGGATTTGTACTTTTCAAATATATAATTATCTAAAAAATTTGTAATAGCTAAATTCAGATTCTTCTCTTTGTATTAATTATCAAAAACTCTTGGATCCGATACTATTCTCCTCTTAAGAGAAATATTAATTTCATTAAAATTTTTTTAAATGGTATATAAAACCAAAACTTGTCAATTAACGTTCAAAAATAGTATGGCACTGAGTTTATATCAGTAACAAATTACAAGACTAGTCCGCTATGAAAACAAATTGTCCCCAAATGATCTCCTATCAAGATTACATCTAAGAAGATCTGTTTAAACACATGCATGTATATGTACACACACAACATAAACGAGCTTCTAAATATGCAACTTCTTTTGATTCAAACACAAGCATGCACGTGTGTACACACACTTGCATTAAAAGGTCACTTTAAAACCACCCGAGTAGCACTGAAAAACAATGAAAGGAGACCACGGCTTTTAATATTTCATTAGTACCACCTTAAGACAAACTCTTCAAACGAGAAACCATTTCTACAGACCACTGGCGAGGTAATTAAGTGCCCACGTCCACCCCGACGTCGGGCTGCACACCTGTGTGCGTCCGGTAGTGGTCTTTCATGGCGGAGGCCGTGAGGAATGAGTAATGGCACGTGGGCCAGGTACACTTAAATGGCTTTTCTCCCGTGTGGAGCTTCATGTGGTTGTTCAGGGCCCACTTCTCAGTGAAACTCCGGTCACATAAGTGGCACGTAAATTTCCTGCACGAAGGAGAGAGAAAATGATGTGAGTATCACCCCCGCGGAACCACGGCCGGCCCCCGACAGAAGCGTGTTTCGACCCTGAAGTGTGGCGAGTGCACAGACTCTGTGAGGAGAACCGCAGGCCTGGTCTGTCATGTCTGTATAACCAGCCATTGATTTTTCTGTCCAGGCCTGGCACTTCAGCCATTTATTCTCTGCTTTGCGGTTGGGCCCAACGGGTTTGAAAAATTCTGTTACAGTCCAGTCACCCCTGAGGCAAATGTGAGAATAGATTTCACCTGCACAGGCCTACACCACTTATCCAGGGCACGGGCTGTCAGAGCAAAGGCTAAGTGAAAAGCTATCCATACTAAACTACTCAGACAACCCCTGCTCTCTACCAGGCGGAGGCGGCCGGGGCTGCCGGCTTGCAGTCAGCCACGGGGCCGGCCTGCAGACGCCGCTCCGGCCGCGCACCCGGCCACCCCGCACTGCAGGGCTCCTGGGGACCAACGCCAACGCAGACGCGTTGCCTGAACGAGGTGTCCTTCTGTGTTACCATAAGGATGGATTTAAAAAGTTTCCTCTGGTAAGAATAAAAATCAGATTATAACTATAACTTTTATAAAACAACCTTTGAGAAAAATAAACCTCAGTTATCTCCTGCATAAAAAAAAAAATGAAAATAACAGATCAGTACTCAACTCGAAAATATTAGAGCCCCACAGTTCACAAAGATCTTTTAATACCTTTAATAGTCAAGGCAATGTGAACCATAAACAAAAACTTAAATCCTTCTTCTGGTTGAGCTTCTGTCCCTCGTCGCTTGCTTCATGAAATCATCACTGAAATTTACTTTTTATTTCTAATACAATTTAGTTTAAAGCAATGCCTGTGATGAATAATGTCCAGCTAATTAATTCAGGATAATGAACAGTCAAATAAAAGCAAATTAAAACCCAATATTCAAAATTAAAATATTTTAATAAGTGGATAAGCACTGTGCCACAAAAGAGAGAGACTGTGGCAGTCTGCTTTGAATATCGTAAATTGGGCTATACTTTTAGTAAGTCAGTGCAATTAAAAAAATAGGATTATAATATGTGCATTTTAAATTATGATATAAATGAGATGTAAAAAATGTGCGTTCTATCCATGAAGGCTTTAACTATGATTTTTACAAATTTCCTTAACCCCGTAAAGGTAGAAAAAGAAATCCTGAGCTCCAAATAATTAATTTTCTCATTTTGAAGCAAGTACAGATTAACTTAACAAATTAATCATCAGAACTTCACAAATTCTTAGGAAGCGAATTACGAAGTTAGCTTTTATAAAAGTCCTTCTTCATTTGTTATATGTAATTATATTTTTGTAGCAATAGATCTTAAATGCTACAGAAGTAAAAGTTGCTAAATATTTAAGAAATGTCATATAAAATATCCTAAGTGCTTCATTAATATTAAAATTGCCAATTACTACATCTATATAATGTATGTGTAGAAACACTCTATTTACACCCATTAACAGAGACTGACTTTGAAATTACTATATCATCTGATCACTGCTCACTGTACTAGAGAGTGACAAATATAACTAAATACTTCGAAATGCACTGTAAAAAAAAATATCATGTCCGTATATCTCTTTGACAGGTCTTCATGCATTTAACATTTCAAAACCATGACAGGGATCTTATTTCCAAGATAAATTCCCCTATCTACTTATTTCTTCATGTATTTATTGTGGATCTAACCTTCTCCTACAAGAAATAAATAAGGAGGTTAAGTAGATGCTATCTTTTAACAAATAGTTTCTCTGCACTGTATTACAACTTTATGAATGACAAAATAAATCCCTCATTTTTAAATCTACCATGATGTACATTTAACAAAATTACATCTACAAAACCTCAATATATGTACTCTATTATTCATACATAATAAAAATGTTAAACGAGAGCTCAGTGTCTGTCAGGAAACGACAAAAGCCAGATAACAAAGAACTAACTAAGTTCTTTTAGAAACTGACTTTTAGAAAACCTCACGTGCTTTACAATTTGCCTTATGAAAATAAGTTCATGTGCTTGTATTTTAACAAGAACCTGAAATATCAGCAAGAAAAGTATCCTTATCAGACCTACTCTTCAAAGGGGTACTTCCTGGAACTACACAAATTCTGAGTCTCAAATACTGTAAATTATTGGCCTTCACACAATTCCGTAAGAACAACATCCACCCAAGAGATGCAGCTCTCCTTGGGGCTTATCCCAGGGCCTCTCCAGGACAGAACCTGAGTGAACACATGTTCTGCTCTGCCATGTAGACCCAAGAAGGGAAGGTATCAATGTGTGTTCTAGATGTACTTTAGAAAGACCTGAACTCCCGCCAATACCCAAAACACGGTTTTAAGACAGGGGAGATGAAGGAAGAAGAGTCAGATTTGGCTCTCAAGAAAATCACAGGCTACTAAGGGAGAAAAAAAACATTGACAAAAATAACCTCAATGACATATTAAAAAAAAAAAAAAAAGGTAAAATGCCATCCTAAACTTAAAAGCAGCAGCAAATTAATGGGGTGGGACAGATGAAAGAAGGCTTCCCAGGGGTGGTATTTAATTTAGATGTTAAAAGGTAGGGACAAATGGACATGGAGAGGTGGCAGGGATGACATGGCAAGACAAATGCATAATGAGGGTCCCAGCACTGGAAGCACCACACCCACTGGGAATCTGATCGCCTGCCACCCCCCTCGGCGGCCATCCAGTTTCCTAGGAAAAGGGTGATGTCCTGTGACCTACATTAGCTTGGATCAAATGTTATTGTTGATGCTCTTCTATCCCCACATGGTGGTCTTCCATGAAAAACTTCTTAACTGGAATTATGATCTATTACAAAGAGTTCTGTTTGGTAAAAACTTGGTAGTCTCCTCTTTTATTGTGAAGACAGTTTTCTAGTAGGTCAATTAAAGGATGCAGAAAGACGACTACGAGACAATCCCATAAAGGTTATATGCTAAAAGAGTAAATGAGACAAGCACACAATAGGAAGATGGCGCTAGGTTCACCTTGTATCCTTAAGGCCCATACAAGTGCATGGTACACAGTGGTGCTTGAGAAATAATTCTGGACCGACCGGGTGAAGTACTAAACTAGTGAGTAAGAGTTTTGCTCTTGACTCAATCTTCGCCAGACTCTGAGTGAGCATGTGAGATCGGGGTGTTATAGCCACAGGGGCCACGCTGGCCGCCAGGAGCTCCCTATGCTCATGCCATCCGGTCCTCTTACCTTCCTGCGCATCTCTGCTAATTTTACAAAGTGTGAGTGTTTCAAACATACAGAACGTGACATAATGCATACTGTATGAATCACATCCATGTTTTCCGTATTTGTTTCAGCAACTTTCTTTGGTATTCTAAAGTTCTTAATTTAATTTTTAAAATCTTAAATGTTTATAAATTTTTAAAAAATGATTATGACAGGTCATAGCAGAAGAATAACAACTGTGCTGTGCAGAAAGCCATCTCTGGGGGGAGAGGAGGTGGCCTCAACACTATTTCCAGGTCTTACATAATCTGGCTACTTTATAATATTTACTAGAAAGTTCAAAATGCCAAATAGTACTCTAAGACCTGTAATGAGAAAGGGCATTTTGTTACCTGCTTTTTCCTCAGGCTTCACTAGATGTTTCTACCGGATATAAAGTGATCTTAAAAGGTTTCGGCGGGGGGGCGGGGGGGGCGGGGGAGGGGGGAGAACACAAGCAAAAGAAATCAAAATGACACCAGACTTCTCAAAAACGTGGAATTAGAGGACAACGTAGCAATGATTTGTACATTTTGAGGGAAATGATTTTAAACATAGCATGTTACACATAACACCTGTCCCAATTCCTACCAAGAGATGTCATTACAAAGTTTCTGGTTTCCAGGGATTGAGATGTCCAACTTTCTAGAATAAAGCCCTTTTTCATGTTGGTAACTATGAAATGAACGTCAATTAAGGGTTCATCTTTTAGTGTAAATTTATAAGGCTTCCCAACTTAAATTCTACGCATTTTCCGATATGTTTCCAGTAGGTTTCTGTATTTACAGTTCTATGTGCCGTCTCCTCCTTAGCATCCCTCCCACACCTGGAATGGCTCTGGGCCCTTGTTTGGTCTCCCTGTTAAATCTGGTGGGGAACCTGTCTTCCCTGAATCACTCATGACATGATTTGTAATAACACAGCCAAGACTAAATAAAACCCACATCTCTAGACTTAAAATTTTGAAGTGAGTATACTAAATATCCTCATTGTTAGATATATAACAAAACTATAAATTCTCACAGTGGTGTCAGTAGGCATTATGCACAAAGTAAAACTCAAGAACTCAGTAGGGAGCTGAATTACATGACTAATACCATCATCTTAATAAGTGCTTCTGCCGTACGGAAACTCGGTTACATGGTCTGTTTTTGAATACCTAAAGGGCAGACAAGTTATGTCAAAATATATAACTTCTATTTTGAATTGTGTCTTTATCTTTCCATATTACTATAGAAAGTAAACATCCTAACGGGAGAGTCTATACTCACTTTCTTCAAAGTATATTTTTAAATGTTATTTAAAGTATTTTAAACCCTATTAGGTAGATTATTGACTCAATTTATTACCCACTTAATAAAAAATCTGTACACATCCCACTTACATAGGAAGACAAGGGTATCTTGATACTTTGGTGCTTTACTACTTTGTAATTTTTTAAATACAGCAGGAAGTGTCAGTAGCATATCTTTATGTTCTTTTCTAACCTCTCCAATTCAGGATAATTTAGGATATGGTTGCGTTAGCAACGCTTTCTAAAGCTGCAGCTGTCCCTCCCTCTCCTCCAGAAAGCTCAGTCTAGGTAACCGGGAAGCTCCAGCCCAAGCACAGGATGTAAACGCAATTGTCCCCATTAAAACAGGAACAATCTTAAATACCCACCAGCCGGGGAGTAGATAAATAATGGGTTTCATCACAAAATAGGATATCATAATGCA